TTATTTTTCTCCTGCGAAATCATTCATTTCACGTAGTCGTGAAAATTTCATATGTACGTAAACTATACTCCTATTCTGCTTTGAACCGTGACTCAAATTCCTCCTCACTTCTACGATAACTCTCAGTATTTGTCATTTGGCACACAACTTAATATAGCATGTGATGAATGAAAAGAAGGATAAATCTATACAGAAGTGCCTTGGTCAGACATGGGTGGAAAAAATCCAGATTATTTGTCACAGATCTGCATTTACAGGTTAAATTATGGTTAAAAAAAATCTATTGGGTTGTTTCAAAAGTGTAACCCTTATTTGTACCTCTTTTGAACTGCCGATTCTGGAGGAAAAACCGTTATTCATGAGCATTGCTTCTATTATTCAAAAGCTCTTTTCTACTTTTTCATGCATATTTCCGTTTTCGTAGGGCTTCGTTCATTCTATGGTTCGTAGGAAAGGAGACAGCAACACAAATACCTTTGTTCTGTTGCCGTGAAATTCACAGGTAAAAAAACTTCTTTTGAAGCATATGTAATGTTTTCCGGAGACTTGCGATAGAAATTCAACGAAATATGATTTTAGAATTTTGAACTGAAAAATTTTTGGCATAATCAACCATTGTTGTTGCTCGCACTGCATCACTGTGCGATGGCTTTCTTTGGTGGTTCGCATCACATCTCCTTTTATTATAATATATCTTTATTCACAATAGAATACAGATTACACGACTATACACAAACATCACCATATTTACACTTTTCTTTTCCTCTTGGAGATTACATTAGAAGAGATGGTGGTAGAATCATAGAAGTCAACCTTGGACTCTTCGCCTCTTCCCTTAAGTATGCTTCTTCTATGTCATAACATAAGAAGATATAGCCTAACAGTGAGATGTTGCACCTCTGTCATTCGTACTGATCAATCTTACTGCTCAACCATTAAAATGAGAACTTTCCTTTCGCAAATTGCCTCGGCAATGTCAAGCAGTCTAATGGGTTCGATAATTGGTACTGAGAAGATGACAAAACGAACTTTGACCATATACATAAGCGAGTCACAGAGTTACTGTGGCCGTACATAACAATTCAAGCCTCTCAACCACTGTACATTTTCACAAGGACCAATCGTGTCGTCGAATTCGATATTCGGCGAGATTCAGAGCTGAATAAGGCTGTATTGAGGATAGCCAAGACAAGGCGGTTGTAACCTTTGATTCAACTCACTTGGCGGCTGGAAGGCGGGGCCTTATGAGCTAATTAAGGCCGCTCGCGCCGGCGATGTCTCTCTCGCGCGCATGCTCTCTGAACATTACAGTTGTGACAGTGGAATGTGAAAAATTTCGGCCAATTCGCCGAATTCGCCGACGCCAAATTCGCCGATGTCGCCGACTTTGCGTCTTTTCGTCATAACTCCCTTCGTTCTCAATGGATTTCAAATTTGAAGGCAGATTTGGATTTAGCTCGCCGAGACGAATTCATATATTGAACTGCTGGAATCGGCTCGGTCACGGTAAGTGCATGGTAGGAATCCGTTGCACCCTGTGGTGATGTTTTCTAGAGTGTGTATTTTGGCGCATAATGTAGGCAAAAGTTTAAGAAAAAGAGCGTTTGATGGAAGAGTTTCTACTGAGTGTTTCCAGCAGAAAACCATATCCTTTTTTTAGTGGAAAAAAGAGAAAGGAGTACGTGAACTTAGTAAATATACATGAACCACTTACCGTCAAACATACGTGAACTTAGTAAATATACATGAACCACTTACCGTCAAACAAACATAACTATACAGTAACACTATGATTAGCAAAACGTTTATAATTTCTGTAATCAGCATGTCTTGTTGCTTATGTGAGCAAAGTGACACGCCGCATGACCATGATATTCTGCTTCCAGCAAAACTTCACTTTTTCTGCAGACGCCTCTTTGCAACGCTGTGGGCCAGCCCCTTTCACACTTAAAAGATTCCGGTAAGGCGAATCGGAAAGAGCTGTTTCCATGGATAATCCAGCGGTGAAAAGCAGACGGAGACATGCTTTATAAAGCGCGAAAACACATGGTGAATTCTGCAAAAATCACGCGCCTCTAAATTCTACTCGCCATAACTTCCTCCGGAATAAGTATATAATCCGAAAATAGTGCGTGCTCAGCTCATCAAGGCGAATCTTCTGGTATACAGCATGTCCTTGATATCTCGATTTCAGTATTCTTGAACTTTTCTGCGGACGTCTCTTCGCGAAGGTGTAAAGCAGCGAGCATTGTCCCGAGTAGATTCCAGCAGGGACCTTATGATAGTACTTTTTCTGCAGATTATGATGCGCTAAACAGTATCCGCAATTTTCTTTTCAGAGGAAATAGATGAACTGGTGAATTGTGGAAAAATCTTGTCGTCCCAAATTCTACTCGCCATAGCCATAGAATATGATGCTCTCTTGCTAAGCAGATGTGATTATGTAATCAGCAGGTCGGATAACCTCTATGAGCAAGTTTTCCGAGGTGTTCCAAATGTATCGGTGGTTCCTTGGTCGTACTGTGGCCTGAGGCTAATTAGCGCCTGATTGGGAGTAATTCTCCTGTGCTATACAGAACACATGTGATTTAGGTTTATGAACAGACGACGTGCACGCATCAGTGCAATAGTAGAATGCTGGTGATTATAGGCGTGGCGAAGTAAGTTAACAATTTGGGCAGTAACGGTGCTCATATCACAGCAGGTCATGCTTATGCATGACCTTCGTGGTAATCATCAGAGGAAGTGAAAGAGGTGCCGGTTCTATCGGCACATTTGGGTTATTTCATTTTTTCTCGTTTTACGCTCTGGAAGTTCGCCGATGGATTTTGGTCAAAATGTTGATGCCCTTGGATTGTAAGGAAACTTCGCTTATAGAGGTTTTCGAACACGCTCTTTACGAAAATCGTGGTCTTTGAGGATTACAGGGTCTTTTTGGAGAGATACGTGAGGTGAAGGTAACTTCATCACGAAAGTGCATGACTTTGCCCGCACTCCTCGCGTATCTCTCAGAAACCTTGCTTGCTTGCTTTCCTAAGTCAAAGTGACTAGGAACTGAGCCGTCGAATGGTGCATGAACGGGCTCCAGTCTATAAAATTCGCCGAGTTACAAGCCTACGAAAACACATCCTCATGAAATTTGCACAAAATGTAAAGATCGCGTACTTTGTTGTTCCATCGTGAGTGGTTGCATGACTAATTGCATATGTTGTGTTCACCCCGCCCGCGTTATATGCAACCACTCACGGTGGAATTTCAACAAAGTACGCGATCTTTACATTTCGTGCAAATTTCATGAGGATGTGTTTTCGTAGGCTTGTAACTCGGCGAATTTTATAGACTGGAGCCCGTTCATGCACCATTCGACGGCTCAGATCCTAGTCACTTTGACTTAGGAAAGCAAGCAAGCGAGGTTTCTGAGAGATACGCGAGGAGTGCGGGCAAAGTCATGTACTTTCGTGATAAAGTTACAGTCACCTCACGTATCTCTCCAAAAAGACCCTGTAATCCTCAAAGACCACGATTTTCGTAAAGAGCGTATTCGAAAACCTCTATAAGCGAAGTTTCCTTACAATCCAAGGGCATCAACATTTTGACCAAAATCCATCGGCGAACTTCCAGAGCGCAAAACGAGAAAAAATGAAATAACCCGAACACCTCGGAAAACTTGCTCATAGAGGTTATCCGACCTGCTGATTACATAATCACATTTGCTTAGCAAGAGAGCATCATATTCTATGGCTATGGCGAGTAGAATTTGGGACGACAAGATTTTTCCACAATTCACCAGTTCATCTATTTCCTCTGAAAAGAAAATTGCGGATACTGCTTAGCGCATCATAATCTGCAGAAAAAGTACTATCAAATGGTCCCTGCTGGAATCTACTCGGGACAATGCTCGCTGCTTTACACCTTCGCGAAGAGACGTCCGCAGAAAAATTCAAGAATACTGAAATCGAGATATCAAGGACATGCTGTATACCAGAAGATTCGCCTTGATGAGCTGAGCACAGCACTATTTTCTGATTATATACTTATTCCGGAGGAAGTTATGGCGAGTAGAATTTAAAGGCGCGTGATTTTTGCAGAATTCACCATGTCTTTTCGCGCTTTATAAAGCATGTCTCCGTCTGCTTTTCACCGCTGGATTATCCACGGAAACAGCTCTTTCCGATTCGCCTTACCGGAATCTTTTAAGTGTGAAAGGGGCTGGCCCACAGCGTTGCAAAGAGGCGTCTGCAGAAAAAGTGAAGTTTTGCTGGAAGCAGAATAACATAGTCATGCGGCGTGTCACTTTGCTCACATAAGCAACAAGACATGCTGATTACAGAAATTATAAACGTTTTGCTAATCATAGTGTTACTGTATAGTTATGTTTGTTTGACGGTAAGTGGTTCATGTATATTTACTAAGTTCACGTACTCCTTCCTCTTTTTTTCCACTAAAAAAAGGATATGGTTTTCTGCTGGAAACACTCACTAGAAACTCTTCCATCAAACGCTCTTTTTCTTAAACCTTTGCCTACATTATGCGCCAAAATACACACTCTAGAAAACATCACCACAGGGTGCAACGGATTCCTACCATGCACTTACCGTGACCGAGCCGATTCGAGCAGTTCAATATATATATTCGTCTCGGCGAGCTAAATCCAAATCTGCCTTCAAAATTGAAATCCATTGAGAACGAAGGGAGTTATGACGAAAAGACGCAAAGTCGGCGACATCGGCGACATCGGCGAATTTGGCGATTTCGGCGAATTCGGAGAATTCGCCGAAATTTTTCACATTCCACTGTCACAGCTGTATCTAGCCCAAGTTATATCACAAAGCCCCGCCTTCCAGCCGCCAAATCAGTTGAATCAGAGGGCACTTATATTTCGACAAAGAAACAAACTAAAAACTGCTCCAGTAATTTTCTTCTCGAGTATATGCTCGTATCCGATGTACTTGACAAAAATTAGATTTTTATAACATCTATAACATTACAAAATGCCATTGCCAAAACAGATTGCAATGCTCAAACAACACGTTTCATAACACAGAATTGATTGTATTAGTAATAATTATTACATATAGTATTAACAGCTTAAAGCCGGCTTCTGAAAGAAAACTTTCCTATAAATGCTTCTAATAAAGCAGAACAGCACCGAATGAGTAGATCATCAGAAAAATAAAACATCGAAGGTGTAAAGATACGTCGAACTGTGCAGAACTAGTCTGCAACTTAGTTGAGCTTCTCACAGAAATTACGTAAATCCACAGATATCGCTTGATACATTGGACCCGGAGCAATGAATGATGATGAAAGATAAAATAAAGACAATGCGGCGGTAGATGTGTATACAAGTATAAACATATGGCAACTGGTAACAAAAAATCGATCAATAAAGGCGATAATATATCTCTACATGGCTATGTATTTTTGACGAAACGCCAGATGTGCACAGATGAGAATCGTGCTCGTGACAACTCGTCCATTTCTACAGTATAACCCGCAACGGCACCCTTTGACAGAAGTTCTCTGCAAACAGAAAAGAAGTGATATTTGAAAATGTTCGCGCTAAAAATCAATATATCGATCACATGCGATGCACACGCAGCGAGAATCTTACCGTTTCTCTCTCTCCGTCCATGACTGCCTACTTTCACCGCGCTCTATTCGTCTGCGCTCTGCTCGCCATACGACGGGACCCTCTTTTCGCCGAAAATCTTCCATCAACGCTCTATTGACGGTTTCCTGCAGGCGAAAATTTTTATCTGAGAATTTCTCTGCAGTATTCTACTTACCGCATCGCTACCAAAATGCACAAAGATTTTAGTCTTTCCATTACGCAGTTCTGCAGAATTACGAGAGACAACCAGAGTGAAGTGAGGCAGAGATGCAGAGGTAAGAGATTGTGGCACGGCGTCGGAGCGAACAAAGTGACGTTCCCAAGAGGTGCCAAATGCTCGCCATCCAGTCTAAACTCGCTTGGCTTCGACAATAATTCACTAGATGTTTTAAAAATTTTTCTCACCTCTTTTGCTGGCCCGATGATCATTTTGATGATATCAGATTCTTTAGAACTCAAACCAGGTAGCGCTTCGACTATGGTCTGAAAGTACAACATTGGACTAAGCAGAAAGCTGTCTCGGAGCATTTTCCAGGCAAAATTAAGTACTTGAGTATCTAATGCGAAAACCAATTGAGTATACTACTAAGCTATTATCCCTGCAACAACTCATAAGACTGATTTCGCAAAAATCTCAACGATCAACTCTCGCCCAGTACTGTAGTCTTTAACAATCAGGTCTAGTACGGTAGTGGGTAAGAAGTTAGACATCGATTTCTCAGCCGCGAATGAATCGAATGACCTGCCGCTTGGAAACTAACTCAGTTTAGGCCTCTCAATAATATTCGCATGAAAAGTCCAGGTGAAAATTTCAATAGTGCCTCTAAGCCAATCAATAACTATCTTCTGAATACTCACCTTATTACCGTTTGGCGCCAAAACCAATAGTTCATGAAATCCAGCATCTTCTACAGCAAAAGTCACATCATCCAGTGGATACATTGAGGTAAATGTTTCGTCTAGTAGCTCAGAAGTGGATAGACTAGGCAAGTGGGAGAATACCCGTAGTCGTGAAGGGAACGAAGCTAGAGAGCGGGTGCAAACACTATGTTGACAAGAAAGATGCAGATCTGATGATGGGAGCAGCGCTGGTGATAAGCCAGCCAACCGGAACCAAGCGTTGAGTTCTGAAAACAGATTAATAATGCAGAATCAATTCCATCTTTCCGTATAACTTCAAAAATAAGCTCTACCGTACCTGTTGGAATCAAAGGATCAGTTGAAGGTTCCTCTAGTGAAAATGGATCCACAGATCGCATGATATCCTTGAAACTGATTCTTTGGATTTGCGAAGGGCCAAAGGACATGTATCGGCCGATCATAGTATCGTATGGTCGGGAGTTTGGCATGATGGTCACTGACAGTTCGGGAATGTCGATTCCTAAAACGATTTGAATTGGAAAAAGTGACAAAAAAATTCATTATCATAATTCAAACTGTTTGAACTATAGTCTGAGGGCAGCTAAAATTCCCGGATACAGATTGAGAAATTCCCCATTCCGTATCCGGAGTCCCTGAGGAGGACAGCTTACCACCCGATAGTGGCGTACCGAGAGGGGTTGGGGTGGGGGGGGGGGCCTTCGAGAACGGGTCGCGAAATTTTTGAAAGCTACTTACAAGAGTTATGAAAACGTGCAAGTGACTTGTTTATTTTTGTAAACAGTTAAAATAATTTTTAAAATTTTTTTAAAATCCAAATTAGCCTTATAAAAAAAATTTTTTTCGGGGGCGTGGCTCACGCCACGCACCTTCATTTAAGAAAAAATTTTGCCGCCCCCCCCCGAGCCGAAATCCTAGGTACGCCACTGCCACCCGAGCATATGATTCATTCGTAGCTGACAGATTCAACGGACATCTGCCCACTACCGTACTCGAAGACGTTGGTTGGTCGGCTCGAAAAGCGTACGGTATCGGGCGTGAGTTTAGAACTGATTCCTCGACCGCGATTGAATCATACGAGCTGCAGCTAGGGCGATGAATTGCTTAGTCCCCCCCCCCCTCACTCTCCAAGAATCTGTTCTCAAATAAAACGTCCAAGGTCAGATTTGAGGCTACCCCTAAGATGAAAAAGGCATCTCGTCTTTCTTACCTCCACGAAAGCCAAGCGGAATCCATTGCGATGACTGCGTATCCGCGATAACTCGTCCAAATGGATCACGATGAATCTCCTTATCAACACCGGATTCGCTTAGAACATATCTGAAAGCATGACCCATGAAAGCAATACCACGAAAACTCGCCCACTGCGACAAACCTCAAACTGCCTTCATCATCTACGGCTAGCGCATAACGATAACCATCTCGGCTCATTGCAAATGGTACGCCTTCCTCAGTATACAATATGGCTGTGGCAGAGGAATCAGACGACGATTGGAAATGGGAAACTCGTCCGGGAAGGTGTGATAGAGCGTAGTAGAGTGAATAGGAGATCTGAAGCAATTTTATTTCGGCTAAATTTGGCAAAGTGATAGGTAGTTTTCTCTATCCTTACCGCTCCATTCCTATATGAAATCAGCCGATTTTGATAATCATAGTCAAATTTCATATCAATCGATGGTCCTCGAGCTCCAACCAATCTACCGTATCCATCCATCTCAAACGATATATCTCCTGAACATATGATGTTGGGATAAAATTTTCTTATCAGGACCAGCGCAACACAAAACCAAAACTACCTCTTTTGCTAGTCCATCCATTACCATCAACAGCATATTCCAGTCTCCCTATCTTTTTTGGCACACCGCCAGAACTCCAGTCAAAGGTCATATCGTTCACCAGCAATGGTCTGCTATCATCGTTGTATGAGAAAGTCCACCTGTAGAAATTGTAATGACGTCATCTGCCACTTTTCCGAAAAAAAAAACTTCGTCTCACCTCTCCTTCGAGTTCATTTCACAAGTTGCCAGCCTGCCTTGCACATCAAAAGTCCTTGTTTCCTTGAACTCGCCATTCACTGTCTGCCATGTGTTCATAGTCGCTCGCCCCGCATAATCGCGCACTGTCGCTAGCGACAAGCGAACGTCGCCGATGACGATTTTCAAAGCAGTTGGACGTCGATAAGCATCAAGCGTGGTTTCGTGCATCATCTAAGCATTAGGTATAGTTGTAATGGACGAGAAAGTTAGAAAATAAGAGAACAAACCTTGAATCCTTGTATTCTAACCATAGTTGACTCTCGGAGTATTTGATAACCAGCTAGCGATGACATAAAAGCGGTCTTCTCATCGTAAGTGAGCTAAATGCATAGATTAAGAAAAAACATCGTGCGAATGAGTTCAGTGTAAAGGCGCTCTGCATTTTCGCCTTCCCGTGGACTACGGTAAGGGCGAGGGGGGGGGGGGGTATGAAAGTGTGCCAGTCTCCTGAAAATTTGGAGTGTAAACCCGCCAAAAGGTGAGCATCCAAGATAACCTGTCGGACATGGCTTATGCCACGCTCCTACAATCAGAAAATATTCTGTCCCACACCCTCCTCCCTCCCCCTCCCAAAAGTATTCTGAAGCCGCCACTCACAAACACGCTAGGCAGAGCGATTTTTTATCCCCACGCTCTCATGCGTCCGTTTGGGTCCCGCAGAGCTACTCTACCGTAATCCACATTGAGGCGGTGCTACAAAGTTCAAATAGAGTCTGCCCTAATCGGGATAAGGCCGAACCGCCGACTGAATTTGCGCGCTCGCAACGCTGGGGGTCTGCGTTGCATATGCGCCTGTCGCGGAGAGCGAGATTCAGGAGAGAGCAGACTGGCTAGCCGTGGACGTGACGCAATACTCTCGCAACACGGGTTCCCGCCATGCCAATTTCGGCCTGGTTAGGATTGGAGCAGGCTGTAGTCTTACCTGTATAGGTTCAACTGCAGTACCAGCTATCACCGCTTGTATCGACGTTGGCCTAAGCAATTCGTCATGTTCTATGGCAAACGATGAATCACGCCATCTGTAATCAATAAATCAATTTCAGAAGTGAATTCTCCACTCCTGCTTCGGAAACAGATTAACTCACCCCTTTTTCGACATTCTACGCTCGCTTCTTGATACGAGAAGTGGTCCCTGCCATGTGAGATTTACAGTATGCTCAGGTGACGTGACTGCTACAGCATGGTCAGCTTGATAGACATATTTAGTCGTGCTTCCATCACACATTTCCTAAAATCAATATCTTTGCGGGGTTGTGCTTAGCCGATTTTTTACTTACCCTGACAACTCGTCCGTATTGATCGTATTCTCGAAGAACATGATGTTGTTCGTCTGCAGTGACCCATTCCAACAGCTTTCCATCACTATCCTCAGCTGCTACGAAGGCTTTCTTGGTAAATGGTATTCTAAATTTCATACTAGTGGTACCACGATGCCGATCGATATATCGATTTTTAAGGAAACTGCCGAAACTCGCCTTCTTTTAATCACTAATCCACTTCCAAAGGGGGTTGCAGAAAAATGGTGAGTTTCCGCTGCTGGTGTAGTAATTTCACGAAGTCGTCCGCGAGAATCATACTGAAATTGTAGATGGTGTAAACAGACTGATAACTGTAATGCGAAAATTATTGATTTTCCCATAAAAACCTCCTTGGAAGACGCAATCACGGCCGTTGGAAAAATCAATAAAATCAATAATTGAAATATTCGTTGCAAAAAAACTTAGCAAAAAGATTAGACTTCTTCCCAACGTCAGTGATTTTCATGGATGAATTTGAGAATGTTAGAATAGATTGCTGGATTGCATTTTCATGATACTAACCTTCAGCGAATATTTCAACCCTCCTGGCAACTCTACAGTACTCGGGTGACGTAACTCTTTTGTGTAAACAAATTTCGTGGTGACTCCTCCTTTCACCGCACGTTCAACGATGCGATTCTGCCGATCGTAAGTGACTTGAGTTGTACGATTACCCCAAATCAGCTCATTTCTGCAATTATGTACATTGCAAAAAATCTGAAATTCAATAAACTTCTTACTCACCTTCTACCCAACGAATCGTAGTGGATGCTCAAGTTTGCTAAGCGATAGGCTGGTTCCAAATCCATCACCCCTTCTTGAGCTATGCTCTCCAATTCTCCACTGTCAGTATAGCTCAAACGCAATGTCTCATCTTCGGATTTAGCACTGATGACGTCACTTCGTGTCACCCGGTCGAAGGTTACCGTAAACGCGTTTACACCATTCACCTAATACGAGGACATTAGATATATGTTGTTAGGAAGGAAGAGAGAATAAATCAATACAAAACAAACCAAAGGTTAGTCGAGCAAGACAAATGGACCTGGTTGATTAGCAATGCTAGGAATCAAGAAATATTGTTAGGCATTCAATCAAACATATGTCGATGAGAAAGGAAAAATTTCAAGATAGATAAAGCGAGGGAAAATAGAACGTTAGGGAGGGGAGTGCCGTCCCAGTCAAGCTAGGGGCGGAGCAATCCCAATGATAAAAAGCAAGCGCTTTCTACTTCAGACAATTCCATATTTAAAATCTCAAATTTTGCGAAATGCTGATCACACTGGTATACTGTTACGTATGGTACTGCTTCTCTAATAAAAGGAAAAAGAAAACTAGGTGGTATCTAATTTCCGTTTCATTCCTTCCACTAGACGGAAACTAGATAGGAGTACGACCTTCTAATAAAATACGGACATGGTTTTGAACTTCCTAGATTTTTCTACCGTTGTCAACAGATCGTTCCTGTACCAAAGAAATGAAAGTCAATGTTAGGCGTTCACTTATAAGTGGTCACACGGAAGGGAAGAAACCGGGATAGGTAAGGGTAGGAACATCAGAAAAACTGGGGGCGCCTCAAGTAGAACCAAAAAAACATTGGGAAATTTGATTTCTCAATGCGTTTAGCAGTGGGATGCAAAGCACAGAGATGTAACCTTTGATTCAACTGACTTAGCTCCTGGAAGGCGGGGCTCTGTGACCTAATTAAGGCCGCTTGCGCGCGCAACGAGTCTGCGTCTCTCTCGCGCGCGTGCTCTCTGATCATTACCTAGCCTCAGCTAGGTCACGAAGCCCCGCCTTTCAGAAGCCAAGCTAGTTGAATCAATAGGTAAAACCCAATTATTTGATGTGATTAGAATTTTCAAGTAATTTGCTTGATGGATTTGCACATGCAGATAATAAAAAACAATTTCTTTCCAGATACTCGCGGATGCCCAAGGCAGTGGAGAAAAGGAACAGGTTTTATAAAAAGTTTTTCGCATGCGATTAGTCCACTCTAACAGGACCAAAAGCCAAGAAGCCAATGCACAGCATCCTCAGTCCGCTCGACTAACCCTTGGTCGAGCCCCAACCTCAGCGATACGACGTTCGGCACCGCCACGTTTCACAAACGGTCGCCAGTCAAATCGCGAAGTCAATGCACGACGAGTGGGATTCTGGAAAATAGGAGTGTGCAACTACGAACTCCATGAAACTTCTTTTTATCGAAAATCACCTGGATTGCATCAATAGTGGTCTTCATCTTGAGAATGCTCGTTTCTCCATGAGCCGGATGAGTTTGGCTGTCGAGGAGTGATGTCATACCAGCGTGGGTAACCGAGAATCCATCATCCATGTAGATGATACGAGAAGGCGTGTTAGCTGGAATACTGTATCTTGGAAAAAGTAATTTAGGGGAGGAGTTACAGGCGAAAGCTGGTCCCCATCCTTAGAACACTTCTTTCTACGTAGACTTAGAAGTAAAATAAAGCATTACAAGGGCATACAGATGAGAACAGGTCCCCGTTACCATGAAACAAGGATTTTTATAATCAGAAGCAAGCGTGGTGATTGTGAAGTTACAAGCGAGAACTGGTCCCCAGCCCTAGACAGATTTTCTACAATAAGTAAAACATCAAGAGATGCAAGAGTAGGGAATGAAACAATAATTGGTTCCCACTACAACTTTCACCAAGAAAAGAACAGCAAGATAGCAATATAAGGGAAGAGACACAGGCGAAAACTGGTCCCACGATAATTTTGCTTCAAAACTCATTGAACAAACCTTCATAGGCAACTTCTGGACCTCGAGAAGTGAAAGTGGCAAAATGGACTCCATTTCTCAAAACATTAGTTGAGACACGGCCGGACGAAACCTGAATCATGACAATGAAAATTACGAGGAAGATTTGAATTCAGAAGAAAAAGATAAGAGTCAACGGTAAGAAGTTTCACCTGCTCATCTTCAATTCGAAACTCCTCTCCATCCCTACGCATAGCTGTCGCTTGGCCTCTCTGATTATATTCGAACACTGTGGCAGCTCCACCTTGCGAACGTGATACCAAAAGACCACCAGACAGATAATTTAGCTTTATCGGTTCTAAAAATGAAAAAAATTGATCGCATAGTTTCCAGACAATGGATAAGTTTGCTTACCACGAGTTCCCGTTTGCACACTTTCAATCACTCCATCGTAAATGCTAGCCACCAGTACAGTTCGTTGCCCTGATGGGGTCTCAATGGTACAATGAGTTTCGTTAGCCCGAATGAATCGTAACTGGTAACCACCAGCGCCATGAACTGACGTAAGACGACCAAGGCTGAAAAACGGGGGTCATAATACAGAAAAATTGTTTCACAACAGTTTATTACCCACTAATACGTTTTTGATAGCGGGATTGGATGTTACTCTTTAGCGCCTCCGCCAAGCTCCGCCCAGGTCACGCCCCCTTTTGGAACAACTTTTTTCGCTTTTGATTTAGGTTTACTAGTCACTCAAGACACAATGCAAGTCAACTGAGGTGATATCCTCTGGTAGTTTTCAAAAGTGTGATGTTGGATATTTTACTAGGCCGCTATTTCTGTGCTCCGCCCAGGCCACGCCCCTTTTTGGAAAAATTTCCCTAGCTTTCGCAAAGATTGGCTATAATTACAAAAAGTCTAATATATATAATATAGTAGCTGCATCTACGCTCGAACAAACAAAATAAAAGAGGTAACAGTACTGGGATAGAAAACAATCAATAAGCATCTTTTATATTGTTTTGCTCATCCAAGTAGAGTAAGCATAATTTGAATGACGTCACTCACCTAGTATCCACATTGTAAGTGAAGTTATACAATACAGCACCCGTAACCAGTGACTGAGTTGATGTGTGAAGCCCGTATCGATTGAACAAGTACAGCTAAATCAATTATCGATTGATTGTAAATTCTCGCGAAAACGAATCATGTCTACCTCATTTCTGTCCGCATCGACAACAGTGTACTGTCGCAGTACCGAGTCATACTGCGCGACTCGCGGCACAATTCGCTTTACTTTCGCATTCGCCGCGTCCGCAACGTAGACGCGACCCGCGGCATCGACGCTGACGGAAGCAGGCGAGCTGAACAGCGCAACCTTCGACGACACGACTGCCGATGGCGATGCATTGTCATCGCATCCGCAAGCTGCGACATCACACGAACAAGCTGTTTTTTGTCCAGCAAAGACTGGAAAACTCGTCCGATCGGCGGATAGGCGGCGAATCTGAAGGTTACACATTCAATTTTCAAATGAAAAAATATCTAGTTTACCTGGTTCAACTTCTTCCCATCTGACTCAATCACAAACAGCGATCCATCCGTGGCAGCCGCGATATCGCGCGCACTCCGTAGCGTATGTCGCGATGACACATTCTGACAAGTTGACAAAGTACCTATAAAGCGTACTGTAGCTCAGCCAGATTACGGTATCAATCAAACTGACCAATCACGATCTCCGCCGTGTCTTGTTCTCTGTCCACTTGGTACACTACATTCGAGTCAAGCACAAAAATCTGTCCCGTGGGTAAATGAATCGTCAGAGACGTGGGCCACTCGAGCTGAATCGATTATTGATTCATTATTGATGGATCAGTATTGATTGACTATCGCCTTCTACCTGAAGCTTTGCCAAGGAAAATAGCGCTCTGTCACAAGAAGGTGCTCTATCGAAGGATGTGTCGCCGATGGAGCGGATAGTTCCAGAGGTGTCAATAACACGCAACCGACGTCCATCGGTCACTAAATATACCGATAATAAGCCAAGAAATCAATAAACTGATATCAGCTTACCGAAGAGATTTCCCTCTCCATCATAGGCAATTCCTTTCGGGAAGAACAACTGGGCATCTACTGCAGGACCACCGTCACCACATGAATCGGCAGCAGCAGAACATGCCGTACCATCACCAGCCAGGACCTACAAAGATTTTTGAACCGACATTCCAGTGAAGTTATGAGTCAGCTTACCTCGTGGTTAGCAGCTGGATCAGTCGGTGAATGGCTCGAAACCTTCCAAATCTGCTTGTGCAACGGCAAGGATATAGCCAAAGATCCGTCGACTGGACTTACAGCCAAATAGTACGGATAAGATGTGTCAGGTAGGCTAAAATGGCAATTACATGAGTCTATTTATGAAAATTCGGTAAAGGTACCTTAGTGAGAGTACGGTAGTAATCTGTCCATCTGGGCTCACTCGTCTCACTAGGTTGTGGTCACCTATGAACACGCTGCCATCTAAGCCATGAGCCATAGTTGATGGCCGAAATAACGAGGCCTACAAAGATTTATATGCGTAAGAAAGAACCACGTTTTCTCACAATTTCTTAGAAAGGGGGCGGAGCAAGGCTTGGTGATTGGTCGGTGGAACTTGGACCAATCACAGCTTTTAGTCCCGCCCACTTCTGGATTTTACATGCCACAAACTTGTTCACGACTTACATCCGCAGCTATTCCATTACAATTTTGGCATTCAAGCTGGCGACGTTTGTTCGATCCAACAAACAATTCTAGCATTGGCACACTATTCGAGATAAATCTTCGCCCACCATTCCCCATTTCAAGCACGCCTAAACTCACAATATCTCAATTTTTCGCAAATACTTCTTTCTTTCAGACTAACCGTTCACAGCATCCAAATGATGATGAATATCAATACTCCAAGCTCCGCCCTCTAAACGTCGTGCTCTAGCGCCTTCCATGAAAACTCGACGTTTCACCCAAGCTATCTCAGCTGGTCGACCACATCCACGGTATTCATATCCGACATGGACTAAATCAATTATTGAGTGATGAGAAAATCAAAAATCAATAAGCACAAACAATCTCACCGTTCGCGGGCACCATTCCATGATCACTTTGCCGATAAACATTAAGCTTGTCCCAGGACCAAATATAGGTGAGATTTTCACGAGGAGCAAGTCTGCAAGAAAAGCACTAGAAGAAAAAACGAAAAATCTACGGAATCAGAAAAAAAAGTCTTGTATGAATAATTCGAAAAAAAACAGGTTATCCCCACTTCTTCTCGAACTTTCTTCCAGCTATATCTATGACTACGTGGACAATCCTGAGATCTGGATCAAATTTCTCCGGAAGTAAACCCATCACAAGCACGGAGTCCGACGCGGACACTCTGGATGAATCGTACATAAGCCGGACAGATGATCCAGGCAATGCCAAGCTAAAATGAATATTTTTAGAAAAAAAATTTAGCCGTTTTTACCCACCTCTGTCGTACACTTCTTGTATCCACCAAAAGGGCAGCTATATCAGAAGGAATGCCTTCAGTGGATACGGTCCAGTCTGGTCGAAGTACCGGTGAAGGTAAGGCTCGGTTTGCTACAGCACATTCTGGTCGAGCATGGAGTGCGCGGACCTAAATTAACATAGTATCACTACAATAATCAAGAAGAATCAAGTAAGGTTTTGTTAAATTTGTGCCACAGAATTTGCTCATATCAAAAACAGCTACAGTACCTTTCTTGAACACAGTACCAGAAATTATACCATAGCTAAATTTAATCCCTGATTCAAGAACATATAGACCCATTACAGTAATCCCGAAACAAAAAAAAAACACTTCTTGACACACAACGCAAGTTCAATCCATAGACCGGGAAAACATACAGTACCATTACAGTATCCCAAGGAAGGAAATGAGATTCTCAAATTATCTTTAAGATTTGCTTATATCAAAACAGTTGTGGTAAACTGTGTTAAACACAATAACAAAAATTACATCAAAACTGAACTCATTGCTCAACTGGGTAAGCATACAGTATCACTACAGTATTCCCAGGGAGGAACTCCATGCAAAATTATAATAGCGCAAATTCGACTACCGCACTCGAGGGGCATGGATATCACTACAGTAACCTTGGAAGCAAATCAGCTAATTTTGAGAAAAAAAATTAGAATGATAGCTTTGGCTACATCAGAAAATTACCGTATTCTCTATGCGCAGAAGCGATATTTTACATCAATAAATTTACTTCCTTCCCCCCCCCCTCCTCCTCTCCCCTCCCTTTAAAAATCCATAGCCGACCCCACGCGTTCACCTAGGCCTCGTATAATTCCCTAATCAACCTCAACTAATCTCATCATTCGACCTTAATCCTCTGTATCGGATCCCTTTCCGCCACCAAATCGTAAGGCAAACCGTGTTTCCGGTCACGACACAGTATCCTAACCAGTAATTTTCTAGATACATTCGCTGGCCGAATAGCCAGCTGCACAAGGCGCTCGCCTTTGATGTTGGCGGTCATTAGTTGAAAAAGGACACCTACACAACAAGCGACTGGTCTATCTGCACAGGTGCTCACTATTTACTTCAAAAACTCCTTTAAATGATACGAAGTTGTTAACTACTCATCTAGACGTTCATTTTGTCGGAAAAAAACTTCCAACAAAGAAGAACAAATTTTTGGTTACAAGTTTTTTTAATTTCCGAGGAAAAAGAACCCAAATTTTCGCTACAATAATAAAGGAAAATTTTTTCAAAGGAAATTTTCAGTTACCTCATCTCTGGCCATCCTAATCGGATCCCCAATCACGATCTCATTCGGTGGTACATACACACTTCGCTTTATGCGCTAAATGAAAAAATTGATCAAATGAGTGAAGAAAACTTGAACTGAAATTTTTACGTAACAAAAAATTTTTATTAAAGACAACACAATTTTTGAGGTGTAAATAATAAGAGATAAATCTATAGTTAATGCTCGATAAATTTTGTATCTTTAAAATTAATAATCTTGCCTTCTATCAAGAAATGAAAGGAAAGTCACGAAAATATTCAACCAATTAACCCTTCAGTGAATAAAAGGTATACTTTTCGCATAAAAAATGGTAATTTTTATACAAGAATCCATCAGAAAGCTTCATGATTTACGGAAACAGAATTTCAAAATAAGAAAATGACGGGAGCTTTTGAAGAAAGAAAATAAGGATATTTTCAATATTTGGACCAAGCATAACTTAATCGATCTGCTTACCTGGAATGGACTTCGCAAAAATTGCAAATTCACGGTACGGCCACCATTCACGAGTAAATCAAATTCTCCGTCAAGACGAGTCAAAGTAAAACCATATAGAGGATTGGAAGCATCTGATACCTAAAACCATGACTGGTCACTTTTCGAAACCTCTAAATCAAAAGTCACTTACTCTAACACCAGGCAGCGGTACAGTGCTACTACTATCGCTTACAGCTCCACCATTCCATACAACTCGTCCACGAATCACTGACACCATACTAAAATTATTTTCAATATTATTTTTGCTTCTTTTGCAATGCAAGATCTTCCAGGACTATTCTTTATTGAGTCATCCCTACTTCACCTTAATTCTGACCAAACCCCTGCGAATAGAAATTCACGACAACATTCTAATCCGATCGTCGACCTCAGAACAGCCGCATAACGACCTTACACACCACAATGAGGCAGAAGAACGGCGTCAATGCCCTTTCTTGGTTTGGAACATACTTATTAGGGCATCTCCAAATTCTTTCAATTTGAAGTTGAAAGACGGATGAAGAAGAGCCTGTCATCTCTATCACAGTCCTATTTTTCAGATTTGACGGCTTTTTTGCTAATCGAAGCCACTTCTTGGTAATTTTTGGTGCTCCTCAAACCAAAAAAACCTCTGAATTCGCAACAAAAATCAGACAGTTTAGCAAGTGAAACTTTGTTGGAAAGGCTTTTTTATGTCCAGTTTCTCTGTGATTCCCAAAATAAAAAGCATTACACTCAATACAGCTACTATTGCAGGTACATCTAGTGTTTTACATTACGTATATTAGCTTACCTTTCGTTGAATTGAGAATGATCCGAGTAACTTTGCACGGAGTCGTTCTTGATGATGAAGGAAACGCGCTAAACAGAAAATTGAAATTAGGAGAAAAGAAAAGAGCTTTTGTTTGGACACCCAAAATTTCAACAGCTTCAAATTTGGAAAACTTTTTAAAGAATAATAAAAATGGTGACGATATATACTATAAGATAAGAACTGACAAACATGAAAATTTCACGACTGAAAAATGCCAAAATTTTGCACAACGTTTTTACAAAAGATCGAGAACCTACAATTTTTAACACGGTCAGTAATCTCTAGGAAGTACCTGATAAAAATTCGCATTCTGTACAGCAGGCAACCTTAACAACACATCCACTGGCGCCGGTACAGCTGCACAGACGGCTTCTCTCGAACATTCCGGCGATGAACAGCATTCAGGATCGTCACAGTCAATGAGTCCATCTATCACAATAATATCTTCGCTTACAGTATACTTACAGTACCCTACCAATTACCCTTACCATTGTCATTATCCAATCCATCCCGGCAATCACTCTCTATCGGTACAGCACAATCACTACCCGTATAGGATGGTTGGCATACACATCGCCATCCTTCCGCAATTCCTTGACTGTAACGGCATTCACCATGGCCAGAGCAGGAAAGAGGACAGCCTTCTGAAAAAGTTAATCATAACGTTCATACTTGCCCTGTTAATGTAGGCCTTCACACTTTTCCGTGCTAAAAATCGCAAGAACCATGAGAAGGACAGGTTGTTGGGTTTTACGGCGTAAGCGCAATGAGCCGTCAAGAAAAGTTGGCGGTTCATGGGAAAGATTCAATATAAAAGGTACGTTCACAAATTTTTGAAAGAAAGTTCAAAAACAGGGTCTAGATAGATCTGGGTATGTCTTTTATGTAGACGCTCGCCCAGTACCGTACTCTGAGTGGACCAATCAGCCTGGGTCACGATGTTAAAGAAATCGCATTTTGTTTTTTTTTGTGGTGAAATGATTAGAAAACATCGCTGGAAAATCCAATGTCAGATTGTACACGGTACCGTACTCTAAGTGGACCAATCAACGTTGATTATGGTGGCAAACGTCAGTCACGGTAATAGGAGCGAGAGTCTAAAGCTGAATTTTTCAAAACTTCAAAGCGGTTCTGATGTTTCTCAAGTCTTAAAAATTCAGTCACAAGCTCTCGTCCAGTACCGTACTTGACGCCGACCGGCCCACTCAGCGTACGGTATGGGCGAGAGTTCAAAGCTGGATTTCTGGGCTAATAATGAATCGCAAAAGCTGTCACTTGCACAGCGACATAGATTTTCCAAACGCTTTCCATAAATGAGTCCACGTTTTGTTGGAAATGTCCTCTCAAGATCAGGGCAATAAGCAGGGGGAGAGTGAGAAGTATGATTTTACTGTATGAGATCCATCCGTAAACCATTGCACAAACCGCTAACTTACCCATATAACAATTCTCCCCGTTCCATCCCTTGTCACAGACGCATGTCCCATTCTTCATACATTTTCCATGTTCAAGGCAACCTAAAAGCAGCTCCGATGAGTCACAACCCTCTTTCAAAACCCTTCTTGCTCCTCACCAATGGCACATTCCGCTTGATCGCAAAGATCACCACTCCAACCTGTTTCGCATACACATAGTCCATTCATGCATGCACCATGTTGGCATGGCGGGCATATCACTAGAATAAGTCATGTAGTGTGAACGAGAAGGTCGACTTTAATTCATCGGTAGAAAATCTAACATTATCATTTTACAAGAAACGAAATTAGAGAAAGTGTAGGATGAAAGAAATACGCTAACAAAATTATGACAGAATATAAGAAGAAGGAAGAAATAACAAATGTTTCAAATTTTTCCTGTGACAAGAGAACCGCGCCGCAATCGCGGCTGAACCTCGCCCCTTTTGCCGCGGCACGCTTGTTGATCGAAGAGAGAAGATAACGGAGATAGGCTCCAAAAAATGCAAAGTAATGCAGAATGGTAGGAGGTACTAGAAGAAAAAATAAACGTCGTTAAATTTTTTTTTCTATAGATAGAAAACAACCGTGCCGCAATCGTGGTTAAGTTTCCGCCCCTTCCGCTGCGGCATGGTCATCGAATAAGAGCTTTTCATACCCGCATGAAAATATCAATAAGTGCCAAGGCACTTAAAGCCTACCCTTCTCACAATTTTCTCCTTCCCATCCTTGACTACATCGACACACTCCGGCGACAAATTTCCCATGATTACTACAATCTGGTGGTGGGCGGACAAACTGAAAAAAAATCAATTATCGATCGAGCACACTTTCTTGCTTGTTATAACCTTGCTAGGCTCAGGTAACTTTTGTCGATCAAGATCTCGATTAACCTGACGAGGCTTTTCGGTTGCGGTCGTAACAGGAACCATTTCAATGGCAGGTGATAGGGCTGCCACTATGGTAGGAGTCTTTTCGACAACAACTTGAGTAGGTGGAGGTTCAGCTATTGGCTGAAACCAACCCTTCAGAAAAAAATTGCAAATTTGGATTTTACAGTAACCTACCATAGCACAATCCACTCCTCGCCAACCATCTTTACAGAAGCATCGACCGTCCACACAAACACCTCGGTCAGAACATGTGGGGTGCGGGCAAGCAGGCTAAAACTATATCTTCACCCATAAATAGAGCAAATGGGCAATCTCACCAATTCACATCCGTCTCCAGTCCATCCTCGTTCACAGTGGCACACACCTTCGTCTCCACATCGTCCGTGTCCACTGCAGTCCGCAATCTCACACCAATGTGCATGGACATCACATTCCTAGGAAACGTATAGATTTCGGCAATATTCCAGAGTAGGGAGTGGAGGAAAGGGAGAAGAATGTTAAGAAGGGAGGAGTGAAAATGGGAGAAACAAAACCAACCTTTCCCTTGAAGCCAGGTTTACATACACACATGCCACCGGAGAAGACACCATTGCCGCTACAGACAACTGGACAGATGGCTGAAGAAAAAACAAAAATTATGAGAAAGCTATCGTGCGTCAAATAGACTAATTTCGTGTTTCTGGACTATTTAGTCATTGTCAATAAGAGGAAAATTCGACAGAAAAGTCGACACGCATTTTTAAATTTTTTTTTTTGACTGAACAAATAGTTGAAGAAAAGAGCTATAATTCATTAATAATTTATTGAATCTTATTTTTCGTGATTTTTTTTTGCAATCAAACCATTTCGTCCATTTAACAACAAGGATAAAGAGCGAAAAACCGATGATTGATTTTTGCTGGCATTTTTGACAAACAACAAATTGAGGAAAGAACAGAGAAATTGTTGATTTCTGTATAATCTCACACGGATACGGCGGATATATATTCAGATACTCGATTATCGATTTCCTAGAAATGATGTCCCTCAAACATTTGGAACATAAACCTACGTTCTTCACATGCGTCCCCCGTATATCCAGGTGCACATCGACATCGTCCCCCGGATAAGCATTCTCCGTGACCATTACAATCGGCATCGCAACGAACTGTGAGTGGATTTGTACCATCAGCTGATGTTTCTGTCGGTGACGCTACTGCATATGCCACAAGGCTTATTGGCTCCACCTAAAGTAATCAATAAAATCAATAATAAATTCTTCAAGAATTCCTTACCCTATTTCTCTCATTAATCACACTCAGATACCACTTCCCATCTATCAAAAAATGCTCGAAGATGGCATATCTTGGCGCCTGAAATATAAATGTGCAATTCTGCCACGCCCACAAATGCATTTATACTCACAATCATTTCCTGAGTCTGTCGCTTGTGTCGAGCAGGTTCAACACTATGACTAGGGGCTGGTGGAGCTAGTCGGTCGGCTCGAAGAGGATGATAAAAATCATGCAGTGATAGCGATGGCACGACAGAGTGTCGCCCAAGCAGTACCATTTGCGCTCCAGCGCCAACAGTAATGTTGAATGCGACGCGGCCGGCGCGAGCGATGAATAGTTCTCTGGAATCAATCAATAATACGTAAAGGGAGATGCGCACTTTTTGCAAGATTCAAATTCAATTGCTATAATACTTTTATGTCTCTCGTGAGTAATCGATCGATAATCGATTCATTATGTACAATCCCTCCCTTCCCCCGTGGAATTGAAAAAATCTCAAACTTCCTAACTGAACTACTCTCTTTTTCTATGAGAAACGAACCTTTTTTTCTTCCGAAAAAAAATTTCATCTCCCTGCCCCCCCCCCCCCCGGCCTGACCATCCTTTTTCTCTCCCCCATCTGTTCATAGCTTCCAACAATGTTCAAAAACGCGTCATTCAGCTGATTGGCTTGTGTCCAAATTGCACAAAACGTCCGCGAAGTGAGGATGCACGGCGGTCTTTGTTCGAACTCGTCGCACTTCCTGCGAATTCTCGGCCACAATCAAGTTTTGGCCATAAATCAGAGATTTTTGCAAAAGGAAAACAAGAGGTTGGCGTCTGCTTGCAAAATTTGCAAAGTTATTGATTACAGACCAAAAATCAATTTTCAAGGTTTTTCCCCTACAGCCGATAGTCCCGATAGCTAAAAAAATTAACATGCCTTGACGTTCGTTTTCAATGGGATCTCATTTAGAATTCCATGCGCAAACGACAAACAAACATGACTTCCCATCAACTATCCCAGATGTGCTACTCGTACACAATCAACAAATATTCCCAAACCATAATAACATTGGACAGGAAAAGAATTGCAATTTATTATTTGCTCAAAAAAAGTTCGTAAACACGTTGTTTACTCAGTACTAGCGAAAGTCCAAAATGTTCCCGGCGGTAAACAGATCTCGCCGTGATGATGCTACTTTTGTAAATTAGATCATGTCGCGGCGCTTTGTGCAAAACTAACGCAAAGGAGAACTGGCGCAGAGCTCGTGTTCTATTCTAATAAAAAATTGATACTTTTGATATCAGAAAAATTTCTGGCTACTCAATTTCTTGGAACATTGGGGTAGATCACAAAATCCCACAAGAGCGTAGATAACCAATACAAGACTAGCTCCGCCCACGTGCTGACCAATCACAAAATGGGCAAACTCCGCCCACACAACCCAAACGACCAATCACAAAGCGCATAAACCTCAACAAATTCATTCAATAAAATGGACCACTCACGTATTTGTCATATGTTGTGGCAAGATATCAGCTTCTACACGTTGTCCTAGACTAATCACTGATGGCAGTGGCCGTAATGATGTTTCATCAATCGATATTCGATTATCCGTCATGGTAGATACTGGCGTTGATTGTGAATACACATATGAAGGACTTCGTACTGGAAAAATCGATATATCAATCATCAAAAAATTTCGAAAATTAGATTTGTAGGAAACGATCAAAACTTACATAACAGTAAAATAATAATAATTAATGCTATAAGTAAAGCTGCTGCTAAAAATAATGAACAAGCGGACGGCCGTCTTGAGGAATAAGACGAGGGTTTCATTTCGGGTATCGTCTTTTTCGGACTTCGCCTAAAATATTAGAAGTATTGTATGAAGCATATATAGCATATAAGCCCTTTTATGATGTTTCGGCAGACTCTTGATTTTTTTACTAAATGGGCGTGGCAAAACAGCCAATCAAACCTACATTCAACCAATCACAGTGGTCGAAAAGGTACATACGCAAACGGACAGTAATAAACTCATGAATTTGAACATGCTTGTAAACAAGCGCTCAAAAATTGAGCAGATAGAATTTTTGTTGGGAAATTCGACCAATACCTTTTAGTAGGTTGTTGTACTATTGAAGCAGTAGTTGGATATTTGATCAAAGCTGTCGTTGGGTCCGTTGATCTAGCGGTACGGCATCTGGAAAAAAGACAAAACTATTTTTTTGGAAAACAACAATACACATTATAGAAGCATGATTATCGGAAAGTGATCAATAAATCAATACCGCTAGAATGATACCAGCAAACAAATTCATAACTTTGGAGAAGCGAAGCAAGAAGCAAGCAAGAGCAAGAGCTTTTTTCTATGATGAAAAATAACCTCTGATCAAAAGCCACTCCTCTCTTCACTTAACCCGCAGTAAATTCCCGCAAATTTATGGAGATTCCGCTTGAGCAGCAGCTAAACGTCAAATCACCATCAACCAGCTCTAACTGGGGGCCATTCTGACTGATTTAGTGTCTACTATGTGCCTTTCACTCTCTGCTCCTCGCTCGTAGTCAAAAGAAACCCGCAATTAGCGCGTTTGGCGGGTGGACAGTGGCTAAGTGGATCCGTGATTAGGCGTGAGGCTTAGCGTGAGGGACGTGAATGTGCGCGAGAGTGATGTGATTATAACCAGGTGAATATTGCACGCTCCCCGGCGAATAGGATCAAATCATAGCGGAAATAATGTGAGCGGCTTTAACTCTATTATCCACTACCATTCGTGAGGTCACGCTCTCGCGATTGTGGCAATTACGAGATTTACTGCAATTTTAGTGGTTTTTCTGAGCAAAATTTGGACTCTGGACAATTTCCGCAATGCTCGGCCGTACCACGACTATAACAAAAGAAAAACACATGGAGATAACCTTGACCTCAAATGGATATTTCAAAATTTCAAAATTAGAAATTACTCATATTTAGCCTTGAAAAGAGCATTTTACTAATGATAGCATCAGAGCTGTTGGGCTATTGTAGGTGTACGGTAGCAGACCAATAGTCATCCAATACCCAACAGAACAACTGCTGCTAGAATACCCGCTAGTAGCTCTCAAAAGCAATTACATAAAGTATAGCCCTGTCAAAATGTTTTTGATAAGAAAAACAGCTTGAAATTTGGAGGAAGAGTATACGCTGTAAAAGACAAGCTTTTTCCTTGCAATCATGCAAAAAATATTCAGAAAAAGAGGAACGTTTCTGAAAAAAGTCTGGGGAAGGAAAGTCTTTGGCCAAAATAAAGCAAAGAAAGCCATCAATCTAAAAACATCACTTTGTTCAAGCAAGAAATACTCTTAACCTCAGTGACTTGTACTTGGCATAAAACGAAGAATTCAGTAAGTAATGGAATACCAGTTTTAAGTTCATGGATACTACTAATAAGGATAGAAATATTAATGTGTAGGACTCACAGCAAAACTCGATTTGGAAACTAAAAATAGCAGATCCGGTTAGAATATGGCTAAAGACTCTAAAGCAAGTAATGAGACTAACTTATTTCAGTCTTAGAATTTTCAGATAACCATCCTTTCGAGAGAACGACTTGCTATCCAAATGAAAATTTCTCCCTTTTCCAGAAAAAGAAGTGTGACCAAACTTTGGAGGTTTGTAGCTCTCCGTGAACTAACACCATAGGAATCAAATGAACCCGCACGCATGACTTCTAGTGTTTCACTATGCCAGAATTTTTAAGCAGGATACGTTGATTCATGTTGATCTCTTCACGAAGAAGTATAAGGAAAGAGATCGGGACAAAATTAGCAAAAGAAAAACAGGCTGAAGTGCTCAACTGCTCCGCTGATACTAAACAAGCTTGTCACTAGCCACAGCTACTCAATTTGCGAAATTGCGCAGGAAAAAAGCGACAGAGTTCCTGCGCGCAACGCTTTTTTTTCGGCTGAAGGGCAAAAAAGGACAAACATATAAATGTGCAAAAATGTTCGAAAAACATTTCGGAAAGGAAGTAGTAAGAACCTGCACTATGTAAATAGACCTTACGGAAAAAGGAGAAAGAGATCCGATTTTGATTAGACGGAGCGACACTAAGTAAGATTTTAATGTAGGTGCTTCGGTATACACAGGAAGGATATCATAGAATTTGCGAAAAAAAGTTGGAGATGTGCCAAATCTTCGACTCATCTCTGCTCTATTCGAGCTCGACCAGTGCACACATCCACACATACACCCACTGGCTCTCACTTATGAGGCCGTTAAGAGCCAACTGGCAACAAACGAAGCTAATCGTCATAGGCTTAAGGCCAACGAAGCGCACTATTGCTGCTCTTCGTCTACCCCCAGTGGAGACTTTATAGGGGCCGGTATTGCGGAATTCGATTAAGACTTTACGATTAGTGCTTTGATGAAAATGTCGAGCGTTTGCAATGGTGCAACATATGTGCTTGGAACATAAAAGGTCCGCGACGTATTTTGGGATGAGGGAGAAGGGGCTGGCGAGAGGTCCAATTTACGCATATTGAGTCGCATCTTCCAGTTGAGAAGATGGGGGAAGAAAAACGCATTTGCAGAGCATCATCGGATGTGGGTGGGATAGGCGACTCTAGGACGAGTTTTGCTCGTTTGCAAGATGCACATTCTATCAAATAAGGACATATAAGTGCAAAATGGGTGCTTCACAAGATAAGAAAAAGCAAAGAAATTTGAGCACAGCGAAAAGTGAAGAGCTATAATAAGTCCGCGCTCCGCCTACTTCATCTTATGCTGAAGCTCTTAGCGGCTGCATGCGTGGGAATTGCATCAATGTTTGATGCACACCCTTCAAGACAGCTGTTTCGGTTAGTTATGACGAGGAAAAAAACTCGGACACTAACGGAAAAAAATTTGCAGCCACAAACCATAAAAATAAAGCCAAGTAAATCTAGTATGGGTTTCCTCGGGAAACAAATTGAGAGGAGAGATCAACTCGACGGCCAAGCGACAGCTCAGGTAACTCATTCGTGGCCGAAAAGTTGGACTTCAAAGCCCCGCCCACACCGTATCCTTCCATAGCGATGACCAATCAGCGTCTTTGACTAGTGTACGAAGAACGGTCCGGGCGAGAGATCAAACTTGGTTTCTCAGCCTTTAGCGATATATTACTTAGGAGCTGCCGTTTGGGCAATGACTTACTGTGGCTCCCAACAGCTTCCGCATAAAAAATCCAAGTAATTAGAGCCTTTGTAACTCAATACGTGGATGCACACCATGCGCGCTACTCCACGACTTCTTTACTTGAAAAATCAACTTTCAGGAAACTCTTATCAATATTCTACTCTTTTTATGTTGAAGAGTACGTAGTAGTTCACATTTCAATAATTCTTCAGCTAAACCGGATTTTACTAGCGCATTAAAAAAAGTGTCGTCGCTTACCAGGCGCAGGGTGCAGCCTCACATCATAAGTTACGGTTGCCTATCCCAAAATCATAGACAAAAATTCTTATACTTGCTTGTAAGACACTCATTTTGAGCCATAAATGCCCAAAACACTTTCTTAAATTTCTCCAACCCTCCTAAGCCGGTTCCCATATTAACCCTCCTAAGACAAGTGCAGTGCATTCGAGCTAATCCAAAAATTACAATCAATTATGCAAATTCTATAATCTCGACCAGCACATCGCTAGCGATAATCGCGCGACTAGGATTGTTTAGAGCTGACACACCCTCGCACACCCATGCACTGACGACAAACCACCTCCTTAAGCCCATATGGAACAATTTCCTCACGGGAAATAAGAGCACATGTGTGTATTCGGTCGGGGCATAAACCGTTTCGCGCTCTTCAGGAAAAAACATCATCAAATCACTGCTTCGATCTACCAAATATTTTCGGAAAAAAATCTGATATTGTTCGCTCCCAAATTTCTAGCTGACCCTAACCAAGATCACCCCGGCTATAGCTATAGGATACTTTGTTATTCTCACCGCCCATTAATTAGGGCATAACACCGCAGGATAGCGCGAGACTCTCAAGGGTACTTGATTGGCGTGAGACATAAGCACAAATTATTCAGCACCATGTCACAGATGACCAAAAGAAGTTTCTCAGCTAAAAGCACTCAATTGTAAATTAACGTGAATTTTTTTCAAAGAATTTCCACTTTTTACCTAGGAAATTACTAGGCTGTCCCGGAAGTTCTGTCGTTTCATTTCCGAAAATTTATAACTTTGCGTTATCTCAATGGATCCGCTTCACTGTAATTTTATTGGAAAGAATAAGTCTTTCGAATTCGGATACTATCTTGCCGAGCTTCTATCAAAAACTGTCTGCAGAGATAGAAATAGGAAAAATACCGTATAAGCTTTTGCCATTATACTCCAGGTCGCCAAAAATAGGGAACGCTGCAAAAAAACCTAAAATCGTCAATACATAAATTTTTTGTTCCATTCTTTGCAAATGTACAAAGTTTCTGCCGTCTGGACGTCTCTGTAAAGAGTTATGATTTTCGAGAAAGGTGATGCTTTGATTCACTTTTGCGTTTTCTATAATAAAATTGAAATTCATAATTTCTCCAGAGCGTCCAAACTAGACAAACTTTTCACATTTGCAAATGATAGGTCAAAAAACTTATGTACGATTTCAGACTTTTCTGCAGCTTTCCAGATTTTTGGTGACCTAAGCTGAAATGACAATGTTTCTATGGTCTTCTTTTTCTACATTTACCTCGACAGTCAGTATGTGGTAGGCTCGGCAAAAATATTCGAAAGAGAAAAGCTTATTCTTTTTAATAAAATTACAATGAAGCCCGTTGAGATAGCGAAGGTTACAAATTTTCAAAAATGAAACGACTTAAATTTCAAGACAACCTAATCAACGGATTAGTCAAGGTCGATCAAAAATGCTATTATGTTTTTTTTTCGTTTCTTTCCCAACAAATTTATAGATGTAAGAAAGATTATAGTAAAGTGGGTAGAAGAATAAAACTCGACATATTTCAAAAATACATTTATCATACGATTTGATGTTTACAAACTATACAAAATCTTTTGTACTTTTCGCTCTTAGTTGTTCCCCTCTTTTATTTGCTTTTTTTATGTGGATGCCCATGTTGATGGCAGTTTTTGTTTTCTTTTAAATTTTTGTCTGTCAAAAATCATTTTGATTACCCCAATCCAAATTTATACTCTGCACACAACAATGTCGATGCAAAGTTTTTATGTTG